GATCAATGGAACACCTTACGCTTTGCAGTCATCGAACCGAGTGAAACCTGCTGCCGGGAATGTCAGAACAGCGAAAGCCTCTCAGGAGGAGCGCTGGGAGGCGTCGTGTTCCGTGTGTCGCACCCATTTTGCCCTGGTTCTACCCATGGTTGCAAATGTTTGCATGCATATATATTTATATATATATACATATACCCTAGGCTTCCAAAGGCCATTAAAAGAATGGTCGAGGTCGCTAGACTGTTTTCTGCCGAAAGACCGTTTTTTGCGCCTGGCCCTGAATATCCACAAAATCATGGTTTTTGTTGCCCAAGAATTGCTTAGGGTCAGGTCACTGACAGTTACGCCGCCCTCATCCTCCCAGCTGCAAATGACTGCACCCAAGCCACTCATTCCCCGGCTTGCCAAATGTAGGGTCGCATCACTTTTTAAAATCGCCAGGTGTCCCGCCTACCGTATGCATGCATAGATTCTTCGCATGTTGGTACCGAAGTCCGGCTTTTTTGAAAAATGCTGCAAACTTAGTGGCTTCGGGGCATCGCTGCCGATCAGGCATGCGTTGTGGGCTCCTGGGGGTATGGTTTGTCCACGCTTTTAAATGTACTTTCCACGCTTTTAAACGTACTTTCCACGCTAAAAAACGTACTTTCCACGATTTGTCCAGGGTTTGTCCACGCCTCATTTTCTTTCGATATCGATTAAACAATCAACAAACCACGCGATCAGACTCTGTGGAGCTGTGGACAAGAAGTGAAAAAGCATGCACGGGCATGTGAGGGACAAGCCAAACTGACACAGCATGGTGACGGCGTGTGATTACAGCGGGATGAAGCGACTCTAACACATACTTAGCATATTTCAGAAAAGGCAACAACAAAGTTCTTTAACCTCTCACTGCACAGAAGCGCGGGGATGTCAGGAGCCAGCCGTCTCAAGTTGGCCAAGCTTGTCTAGACCTACTTTTAAATGGTCGAGGGACATTACTTTTATAGCCTTTCGTTTTTTAATGGTTGAGGCTGTTTAAAGGATAGTCGAGGAAGCATAGGGTATAGAGTGAGAGGCATGAACATACCCAGAAAACCAGGTAGTACACCCATCTGAATGTTCAATAGGGTCATAGTAGTCTCAATAACATCCTCACAATGGCTATATGAAAGGGTGCGGATGTTTTTTCTTCTTTTTTTTCGTCCGGGCCAGTAAAATGTCGTATTTTACAGCATTTTTCTCGCGAACTTGACGCCGCATGTCCGACCAACATCCCTAGCATCACCAACAAATCGTGGGAAACAAAACCAAAAAAACGTAGCTGGCGGATTGACGGGGTCAAAAAGAAACATGATTCAAATAGGAGGGCATTTCAATCCCTGTAAAAAAAAGTAGCGGGGGGGGGTTTGGGGGGGGCGGCAGCCCCCCCCATGATGTTCGCAGAAGTGATGATTCGAATAGCTCTGCAAAAAGTCTAAAAAATAGCGGGGGGGTTGGGGTGGGCGGCAGCCCCCCCCATGATGTTCGAAGAAGTGATGATTAAAACAGGGGTGCAAATAAAATATCGTTGGAAAAATCTAAAACGTAGCGAGGGGGTTGGCTGCCGCCCCCCCCATGATGTTCGAAGAAGTGATGATTCAATTAGGGGTGCAATGATTCAAGAACGGGTGCGATAGGAGTTAAAAGGCAGCGGGAGGGTTGGCGGGGGTGATGTTCGAAGAAGGGCATACATACAGACATAAATGGATTGCATGGATTACCTAAAATGTCGTATTTACGGCATTGTCTCGCGAAAATGGACGCTCGAAAAAGTGATGATTCAAATAGGGGTGCAATTAAATCTCTGCAAGAAGTCTAAAAAGTAGCGGGGGGGGGGGGGGTTGGGGGGAGGCGGCAGCCCCCCACCATGATGTTTGAAGAAGTGTTGATTTAAATAGGGGTGCAATTACTCTGCAAAGGAGAGGAACTGGGAAAGAAGAGGATGCGAAAAGCCAAAGTCGCCAAAAGCCGCATAAAGCAGCGAAAAGCCGCTAAAGCCAAAACGCCACCTGCCAAAGAGGAACTGGGAATGCAGAGGAAAAGAAGCCGAAAAGCCAAGAAGCCAAGAAGCCAAAAAGACAAGAATCCAAAAAAAGCCAAAAGCGAAAAAATAAAACATAAAAAACGAAAATACTACCCCTCCTATGTGAAATCCGTACTAAAGGTCCAAGCTCATGTTATGGCTCATATGGCCATGCATTTTACTTGGGGACCCTCTGGTGGACATCATTTGTCCACCAACCACTTTCCAGGGGGTTCCTTATTTGAATTCATGGCCAGGCCATATAATCATTCAGCGCCAATGAGCGATGAGACCTTAAAGATCCTGCTTAAGCCCCGAACTCCCAACGGGGGCGATCGGCGCAGATTTTGTAACCATGGCACAGTTTGTGACTTTTTGACGCGCACAGTTTGGTACTTTTTGGCGCCATGGCAAAACAGGGATCCTTACATTATACACCTGAACATTGCAACTTGTAAATGGTGGTTTCCCTTTATTTGGGTCTGGAAAAAGCAACATGTTTCAAATGGTTGCAACATGGAGATCTGTTAAGGAGCCCTGTTCGAATTTTGGGGTACCCGCTATTTCTTCTGGATGTCTCTTTTAGTAGGGGAACCCTTCCAAAAAAAAAGGGGAGAAAAGGGCACCTAGCTGGGGGACCTAGAAAGGGGGATCACCTTTTGGGGCCATCATAGGCGGGAGCTCCGAAGTGGGAAGGGTTTATTTCATTCTAGGGGTTGATTCCGAGTCCCCACTATGTTCAACTATCGTTCTTTTCAATAACCAGCAATTTTCCCTGAGTTTCCGGAGGTTTTCTAGAAAGATTCAGAGCCCTGGCAAGAATGGAAATGGAACAAACCCCTAGATTCATTTGAATCTGTCTCTAAAACCGTGACAAGCTGGCCACAGGTCCCGTGTGACTGCCCCCAGTTCCACGGGAGCCCCCACATGCGTTGAAGGGACGAGTCTTTGGGGGGAAAAAACACATCACGGGCCTGCGGATGTTTTTTTGGTTTAAGTCGAAAAAACACATCACGGGCTTGTGGGTGGCAAAGAATCGTTTTTTGAAGTGGTGACAAGGACAACATCCGTAAGACATATTTTGCGGAAACTCTTTCAAAGAGGTCTGCAGGAGGCCAATTGGGGGTTTGATGAGGCTGAACCACTTGACTGAACCATCTAAGTGACCGCGGTTCGGGATTTTTAAAATCCGGATTCCCTATATTTCCTCCAACAATCATAGAAGCTGACAAAAGGGTCTTTGAAAGACTACTTTCCTTTTGGGGAAGCTCCCTGGGCACTTCCACGATTGTTGGAAAGAGGGTTAACATCACCCGCCACAAGGAATTGGGCCCTAAAAGTGCAATGCTTAAGGCCACGCAAGGCAAGGGGACATACCAATGCCACGAAACCTCTGAACGCAGATAAATGCCAAGCCGCCGTCTCCCCGCAGCCTTATCAGCTACCGAAGAGGCGATAGCCGGCCTGGGCCCACAAGGGAAATACACAGAAAATCGGATGCTCTGATTCTGTTCTTCCAACTGCGAACCCGTCCCCTGGAAAAAACAAAAACATAGTTCGGGTAGTCGATTCTCTCTAAAGCCGGGGGAAATTAAGAAGGAAAAAATCATGGGTCACTGAACAACTGAGTGGTTGTCCATGGTTTTGGTGGCTCACGTACAGTATGGCAGGGGCATCTTCGCTTGGTCAAAAATAGGGACCCGAAATGGAACCCGGGCAAATAGAACCAAGGACTAAAACCTGCGGTCCTTTGGTGGCTTAAATTTGGCCCATACCCATTTAGCAGGTATTGGACGTAAGCATTGCCATAGTTTGACCCGGTGGTTGACGTGGCTTCATGCCCGTGCAAGATATTGAGCGGGTTAAGGCTTCGCCTAAGCGACAGCTATCCCTTTGCAAGACCGCCAATCTTTGGAGCGGCATGCGAAGGGCAACCAAATGAAAACCACGAACTTGTGAACACACATGATTTATTCCCTAGCCGACAGGAAGGGGTTGTTAGATTTTATGTTGGAATCCGCGTTTGCGATGCTTCTACACCACACCCCCACCCAGTATCCCGCCAGAGCAGTGGATGACGCCGAGTATCCCGCCAGAGTAGCTCGCCCGCGAGTATCCCGCTGAGTATCCCAGAGTAGCTCGCCAGCGGATCCCGCCAAGTATCCCGCCAGAGTAGCTCTCCAGTGGATCCCGGGTTGTGAATAAGCAACTTTGTTTAATTCTTTGTCGGGTTTATTTTTGGAAGGGGCTTGCCTTTTGTTAAAGGAACCGATGTTTGAGTTCTCGAGATCGGCTCGCAGACAAGTGGAGATTGACACACAGACAGGTGGACAAGGCTCTCAATGCAAAGCTTGTTGAGCAGTCATAGGCCCCAAGCCACTCGAAAACCATGCTTGAATTCACACAACCGTGTTCACAGTCGTAAGCGCGTGAGTGTGGAGGGCGGGGATTGCTCGAAGCGAAGTAATTTTTGGGAGAGGGTTCCGCTCCAAAAATAGACTACAGAAGAAAGGGTACGGAGGACCTAGCCAACAAGTTCGGGGCAGACGAAAGAAAAAAAGGAACCCTGTTTGGGGAAGACAATTTTTAGTGGGGCAGCCACCCAAAAATACTTCGCTTCGAGCAATCCCCACCCTCCACACTCACGAGCTTACGACCGTTACAACAACTTCCTCCGCAGCCTCGGGACTTGGGCTCCAAATTCCCATCGGCCCCTTTCCAATGATATTTTGCCGCGCAAGAATGGCAAAGCACTGCTTCAAGCCCATTTCAAGCTTATTGGCAAGCAACAACTACTTGCACATGGCCGAGCACGGCGGCAAGGCACCAGTTATGCGTCTGCAAAAGCCACCGCCAGCCCCGCACTCTGAGACATTAAGCAAAACCATCTGGCGAATGCTGACGAGCCGCTTCGGCAAGGGATACTGGCCGGATACTCGGCAGGATCCACCGGCAAGGGATACTCAGCGGAATACTCGGCGGGATCCACTGGCAAGCTACTCTGGGATACTCAGCGGGATACTCGGCGGGATCCACTGGAGGGCTGCTCTGGCACTGGCGAGCCACTGTGGCGGGATACTCGGCGGGATCCACTGGCGAGACTCAGCGGGATACTCGCCGGATTGTGCTGGCGGGCTGCTCTGGTGGGAGACTCGGCGGGATCCACTCGCTGGCGGGATACTTGATGGGATCCACTGGCGAGCTACTCTGGGATACTCAGCGGGATACTTAGCGGGATCCACTCTGGCGGGATACTGGGCGGGATCCACTGGCGAGCAGCTCTGGCAGGATACTGGGCGGGATCCACTGGCCAGCTGCTCTAACGGGATACTCAGCGGGATCCATTGGCGAGCTGCTCTGGCGGGATACTCAGCGGGATCCACTTGCGAGCCGCTCTGGCGAAATACTTGGCCTTGTTTTTTGGTGGGTCATAACCCAGGTGGCTAACAACATACTATCTTGGCCGAACATCCAAGTAGGGCATGGACATGGCCATTGATTGTTGGCAAAAGGAGTCTTCAGGGGCCAACCGCCAAACTCTAAACGCGAGCTTGTCAGTCCCAAACCCCCGCAGCTGTCAAAAGGTCTGGAAGGTTCAACTTGCCCAATAAAAGAATGGCAACTACAAGGGAAGCTAGTATGAATGGCAATCCCCTAGCAGAGCAGCACCCTGCAAAGAACTACTTATACTTGCAACCCTGAAGGACCCGGGAATCAAAGATGATATCACCGATATCACCGTTCTTGCCGGTGCTTTGTTCTAGAAAACGGTTTGGATGTGGCTTTTGTGGAACCACGCCTCTAGGATATTAAGCCAGTACCGAAAGAGTCCAACAGAAAGAAACTACAGGGGGAAACAGATGAAATCCACCAAAAGCGCATCCAAACCGCTTTCTAGATCTGTAGGGAGGGAACGACCAAGTCCGGGTCTTGGGAGGCAACCGCTTGGGAATTCCCGAATGGAGGAAACCAAAGCGTGGTCCAGCTTTGTCTCATCAGAAAATGATGCACCAAGCCAGCCCCGTCCACTCCAAGCAGACCTCCGGTCCAAAACACCAGCCATGTCACTCAAGCAAACAGACCTCCAAACTGGCGAGCAACGGTGGTCCTTGTTTCTCTTTTACGACTAACCCTAGAACAAAAACACAGGAAAAATAGACATGACAAAAACGAAAAAACGAAATAAACATAATAGATGTCCTAACCCTAAAACAGACACAGAAATGGACATGCGTTGGTCGTGGGGGGCGCCTTTGACCCCAAAAGTTGTTGGTTTTGTTCACCCGAGTGCCTCTCAAAATGGGAGAGGGACCCCTGGTATTGAAAGGGAATCCAAAAGTAAATTGCCCTTCCAACCCTTGGTATGGGCTTGCAAAGAACTGAAGAAATTTGCAGCCCCCTACTGAGAATGAACAGAACCAAACAACCCAAAAACCACAAAACATGAACCAACAGTGAAGATGAACACCAGATGTGGGAGAATATTCATTCATGTTGCAGGGCGATTCCATTCGTCTCAAATTAAGGTCCCTTATTTTGAGACAAACCCAAATGCGGCTCGTCTTTTTTTGAGGGGACCCCCCCAAAGAGAAAAACAAAAACACTGTGATTTGCCTTTTGCTTTCACGAAGCCATCCCAAAGGGGGTACCCTCAAAAAGATAAACCCAAATGAGTCAAACACAAGGCGAACAGCTGACAAAGTAAGCTAAGGCTGGCAATACCAAGAGCTGAATAAAAAGGTTAAAAGAGCAACCACCAAACAACTCGACTGGGCCTTGTTGAGCTCCTTCAAAGGTGACTTGACAAACAAAAGCAACGTTGTTACATGATCCACTGTCAATGGTTGTTCTCCAGTTGACGTGGGATTCTGATGGGGGTTCACTCCCATGTGCGAATGATGTTTTGGGCTCGTGTTCCATGGCATCAATTTACTACCCTTGATAGCACATCTCCCCAAGCCCTGTGATGATGGCGGGGGAAACACCTTGTTTGCAGCCCTAACCAGAACAAACAACTAAAACACGAACTCCGATGTCCAGTGGCCAAGGGAAAAAATATTGTCATGTTTTGGTTGGTTGAGTTGAAAGGAATCGGAACCCTTTTTCAACAAGATGTTGAACAAGGGGCGGAATCCACTGGGCAACTGGGCGAAACAAACATGCAAAGAACCGTTAAGACATATTGACCACTCACATGAGCCATGTGCTCCCCCTGCCTTGCTACAGCCAAACATCTGAACATTTGATCCTGGTGCACTCGTGAACATAAGGACAACAGATGTCGCCGTGTAAACGGGCTTTGCGCCAAACGGGGGAGAAAAAAAGAAAAGAAAAACAAACAAGAAGAAAACATCAAAACCGCAAGGACACACACGCATACCGACTTCCAATTGTCAGATGAACCAAACAAAAAGACAAGACAAGACGGGACACCCATAAAGGAGGCAGGCTGCATGAATCATTCACCCAGATTACACCGAAGCGTAGAAGACCAGTCCCAAGCAAAAAGCCCCGCCTTGCAAGGCCGTCATGAACATGCGGGACTGACAGCCTCGCGATGCGCACGCTTGGCTCCAGTTGCGTTTTTCGCCTGGACAAAAATGAATACATATACATATATATAGATATATATATATATATGTGTATATATATATATGTATATATATATATATATAATTATATGCTACCCCCCACCCCAAATGTCTACCATGTTGCTGGTTTCAACGGTATTTGCGGTGTGTTCTGCCTTTTTTGTGCTTTGGGGAAAGCAGCAGAAAAAGGGTGCCTGAATAAGATCTATTTCAAATTCTATCTAGAAACTGGAAAAAACAACCTGGGACAGGAAGTCCTCATTCAAGTCTAATTTCAAGTAAGAATCACAATTAAACATGTTCTTCCAACAGGAAACCTATTTACATCATCTGTAAAACTAGAAATTATATTGGGATGTGTCACTGTTAAGTTCTATTTGGATTTCAATTACAACATTGAAACACTCTGTCCTAGAACATCTAATTAGAATAGGAATTCAACTACAAATATGATTATTTGAACAAAAACATACTTACATGTTCGTTAAAATAGAACTCTACCTACTAGAACTATGTCCTTGTGAAATTGTATTTAAATTCTATTCAAGCAATAGAAATAGAAAACGGTTCAATATCGAATGTCAAATAAGACACTTAATCACAAATATTATTTGAAGATGAAAACTTGTTTAGATTCCATTTAGATTAGACATCCTACTAGGAGTATGTCCCTATTAAATTCCACTTCAACTCTGTTAGACAATTAAAAAACACATGCTAGAAAAGAGAGAGCCCCCTTTAGAATCTAAATTGAAAATCAAAAGCCTTCTTTTTTAAACACACCTATCTAAATGATCGTTAAAACTGAACACTCTTCTAGATATAATTATCGCCTTATTAAACTCCATTTAATAGTTGATCAACAAAGAAACATGGAAAACGGTTCTAAGCCTAATGCTAATTAAGTTACAAAGGAACACCTATTTAGACTATCTTTAAACTAGACATCCAATAGCATGATTACCTTCTTAGTTCAAAAGAAGAATCCTTTTCAAAATAGACAGTCCAATTGAAGAGTCTTTGAAAAGGCCATCCTACTTAAAAACAATTTCCACGATTGACGATCAACTGGTATGTGCGGTGTGTTCTGCCCTTTTTGGGCTTAGGGGAAAGCAGCAACAAAAAGGCTCATTTCCAAAGACAATCTGGAACCTTCCTGGGAATCCTGAATCGCGGCCAGTGAAGTTTCAGTCGGCTTGGATCTACCTTTGTCCTATTTCCAAGCTGAAGTTTGGCCAGAAGATGCGAAAAGATGGATCAGACCCCCAAACTGTTTGAACCCTTTAAGCCGTTTAAACTGTTTAAACCCTTTCTCAGAGGAAAGGTCCCAAGGGTCAGGGGCCCAAACCGTTTGAACCGTTTAAACCGTTTAAACCCTTTCTCAGAGGGAGAAAAAAAAACAACTTCCCAGGGTTCTATCTGAGAGAGGGTTCAAACGGCTCAAACGGTTCAAACGGTTTGAACGCTTTTTGGCCCTGACCTTTTCTTTGAGGGTTCAAACGGTTTAGACGGTTGAGTTGGCGAGTCTTTTTCCTTTTGCAGAATCAGATGTAGTGGGCAGAACAAATGATGACAGAAAAAGGTCGACATTGGGGGGGGGTACGTACCATATACGTGTATATATATATATACACATACGTATGCATACATACATATGTTTTTAGTAGTGATAAATTACCTTCCAAAACAAACAGGCAAAATAAAACATATTCTGAAACTTGAAACCCACATGGAGGTTTGGGGTTGATTTCTTTCTCGAGAGAGCGCTGGGGAACCTTCTTGGAGAGCCTTCGGCCTTGGGCTTATGAAGCTTTTGGATGGACTCTGAGCAAGGACACTTCTTTCTAGCCCCGCCCCAAAAAGACGACATCTTCAAATCTCGGTCGCTTTCTGCAAAGCCCTGCTCAAAGTTAAACTTTTAGTAGTTTGATGGAAAGCCCATCAGTTGGAGAAAAAAAGAAAAAGTCCTAACATCCAAGCAAAATGTGCCAAAGAAATGACTAGGCGCTCACGTGCCCCTTGGGGACCAGGACATCGCCTATCGGATCACCTGACTAGACTTATAGTGACTCTCAGGGAAAATCCGAAGGTCTACCAGTCTTAGGGGAAATACAGTGGATGGTGGCGAAATCCATTTCGCAGCACTTGGAAACCATGGTCGAAACCATTCTTTGTTGGTATCATCCGAAACCAGGGTCTCTGAGATGGTGCAGGATTTCGTCCATTCACAGTATCCCCGGCAAAAGCTCCAAATTCCAACTCGGGAATCCTCCACATGGAAGCTACATCCTGAAATGGCGTAAGGCACAGACCTCCGTTTCCTGTCAGGGGTCGACATCCGAAAGTCTCCTTTCAGATTGCC